GTCTTACAAAGTACATGGTGTGCTTCACACCGGGATGCCCACTATGTTGATGGATTGTTTAAATGTGGGTTGATTCCTGCTCTTCCATAGATGCAGCACACTGATTCTGTTTCTTTCAAACTGTGCCCAGCCAATGTTGAAGCACTCTAGTGAGCTGATCGGCTCAGTTTGCATGGGATCTGACAAGTTCTATGTTAACAGTCAATTTATCTTCCTCCACCAGTTCCTTGATTGTGTTGAGCTGACGTCTTATCAACATTTCTGTCACCGTCTGCATGCACACCCGAGACTTTCCAGACAGTGTATCAGAAACCCATTGATGCGCACACATTGAGTCAGTCTTCAGGTGCACCACTGTCACTCTCTATTGCAGTACCATGTTGATGCCTCTCAAGATCGCGTCAAGCTCTGCCAGGTTGATATGCTTGTCTTCATGTTCTGATCACAGCCAACAGGCATCTTCAACTAGGGATTCGCCACTTTTCCACAATGACACCTGGGAAATTGTGGACTACATGCCCTACCACGTTGCACTTGTAACATTGCATCTGGGGTGTCCACCTTTTGGCATATGATTCCTTATAACCCTTTGCAAAATGGTTGGGGCCGTTGCAATGATAGCATGTTATGGAGCCATGTGGATCCCCGGTGGGAAGCCTCCTTGCCACATCTTGTGTTGTTCGCACTACCATGACTGCCAGTCTTTCTTTCACTATTTCATCTTTCATAATTGCTCACACTTGAGTAAATAGCTGGTTGATAGACAACTCATCCATCTGGGTCAAAATGTAAAGGTGTTTAACTCACATGAATGCATGTCCCAGGCCACTTTCGCTCATTCCACTGAACAGGATGGAAAGTTTTTGTAACTCTGCCTTAAAGAGACTACATGTTCTGGACATTTAACTTGGCACATCTTACAGACTTACAGTCAATTCATTTGACCACAGATGGTCCAGGCGCAAAGCCATCAAACTCGGGAATAATTTTTAGGTCAAACTTCTCCTCTGTCATTTTCACTGAAATAGCTTGTGTGAAACTAATCCAAGTAATCACTTTCTAACTGTCCAAGTCTCTCCCAACTGAAAAAAACAGCACAGCATTCCAAAAATGAATGCTTTCCTCCTCCCTTGCGTACTCTCGCAAATTCTTGTAGCTCCGAGACAGTCTTTCTTAAATTAAGGTGTCATTCTCTTCTACAAGGGCCAACCTTGATTTCTTTTTTTAGTCTCTTTTTGACACAAAAAGGTGGTTTCCTGATGAGCCCCTCCCTTAGTTAAGGTAGACTCTTTTTGTTCTACCTAATGTGAGTAATTGCTGTTCCTAGCATTCTCTTTTGTTATGGTTCTTGCCAAGATTTCCAAGCTTTCCAGTTTGATTTAGTCCCTTTTTATCTTAACTGAGTCAGCTTTTGGTTTTCCACTTCACAATTTATTTTGTCCTTCCCTCACCTTTAGTGAGTGAGTGTCTTGATTTTGCCTATTGACAGAATACAGCAGCCACTCTTATTTTTTGTGGATTGGATGGATCCTACTAACATTTTTGTTTTTGTTTGAATATTTTGTTGTTTTTATTTTTGTTATTAGGATCATCCCAGCTCTCCTCATTTTATGATATATAATTTTATATATTTTTGTAACAAAATGAGAAAAATAATAAAAAATACAAATTGTAATATCCAGATATTTTTACATCATAGGGTTTTAGTAGGTTCCCCTGTGAGTATATGGCATTTTGGTAAATTTTAGATTGGGTGAAGAGGGATGGTGTTCTGGTGGTGAATGAGTAAACTGTAATGAATTAATGGGTCACAAATCAGATTCGCTAGGTTTAGGATAGTCAGTGACGACTACCCCTTCAACCTTGTGCCAAAATTGTATTTAAAATGCAATAAATACACAATCATTGGGGGTGACCTAAAGGCAGAAGAAACAGATAATCTCCTCCAGGCTGATCTGTTGGTGGTGACTCTCAGGAATTCTAGTATTGTTATGCTTGTCCACTCTTTGATGTTATTTGACCAGCTTTTGTGTTGATGTCCTTGCTTGTGTTCACCTTCAATGTTGCCTTTCATGATGGTCTTGCGGAGGCTGTTATGCTGTGTGATGTGGCCAAACCATGACATCTGACACTTAATAATGGTGAGAAGAGATTTTTGTTGGCTCATAAGACTTTTGACCTTGCTCCCTACATAGTCATTGGTTTTGTGCTTCCAATAGGAGATGTGGAGGAGTTTTCTCAAGAATTTGTTCTCAAATGTCTGAATCCTTTTTCCTATCTCCCCCAGAAGTGTCCAAGTCTCACACCTGTAGAGGAGGATGGATACAACCAGTAATTTATAGATTTGTATGGAAGCTGACATTGCTCTTTCATATCCTTTCCACTTTCCTGTCTGGCCATTGCTGCTGTGGCTCTGGCAGGTGGTATCTTTTGAAAGGGTTGCTCCCATGTATTTGAAGCTAGGCATTTCCTCAAGTGGTTTACTGTCCATGGGAATGCTGGCTAGCTAGCACTTGTGTCATTCACCATTATTTTGGATTATAATAAAATAGTTATGTTTTTACTATAATAAAATAAATTAAATAATTTATTTAGTTGTTAACCTCTGACCTCAGAAGCTACTGTGCATAAATAAAGGTTATTTTCAATTTCATTATGTTAAATAAAATGTAAGCATTATGTTTAAAAAATCCAGTTAATTAATTTTTAAATTAGTAAATGATTTCAAAACACATCTCAAGAACAAATATTGGATTTTAAAATTTGTTTACATTTTTCATCTATAGTGGCAGTTTGCTGGTTCCGTGATTGATGTGAGAATGTGCTAATGATTTCAAAATGCCTGAAAACTTTATTTATATACAGAAATTCAATTTTCTTTTAATATGGGATATAATTGCAGATTAGGACCTAGAAACCAATTTAAATAAAAAGCATCATTCCTGCATAAAAAAGTCTGATTATTCCAAAAATAGTATTAAAAATTTGTGGAAACCTAGGATATATCGACAATCTTATTTGGGTCTTAATTGTGTCTATAGTGGGTTAGCCAATCTGTATTGGTTATAAATACAAATAAAACTGACCCTCTACTATTTTTACTATATCAAATGTAACAAAGACAACAACAAGAGAAATAATCAAGTAGAAGAAATTGTTTAACAATAAATATTTTTTATAAAACACAACAAATACAAAATATATGATGCTAAAGTTGTTAAAACACTTTAGAGGTCTTGATTGTGTGTTATATTGAAAAAAAACTGAAGTTGTTGATCTGTATGTATGAAAGTGAGAAGGTGTGCTTAAGAATATTTGTCATTGCAGGAAAATTAAACAGTTATTTTTTTGTATTAAATTAAAAAAAGGTGTTGTTCTTGACTCACTGTGATTTTTACAGAGTTGTTGCTCTTTTACCAGAGATGTTTGTTGTAGAATAATATATTTTGTTGGAGTGAGCGTTCTTTCGCAGGCTGGGTTTATGTTAATTTAAGTAATTAATGTTAAGCCTGGAATTGGTGACAATGTTCGTTATTGTGTCGATTTCCAATGAAGTCAAGTGAATGAGTTGAATATTTTAAGGGCCCACTGACCAAGTCGTGTCGAAGTTTTGTTTTTATTAGTTCTTGGTTACGCGGGGGATCGAGAACATATTTATATTTTGTGGCATCAACTCGAGGTCAAAATTTGGGTTGGTACCTTAGGACATAGTTGACTGCACCTAATTAATATTTTTCAACCAATCAGAATGCATCAGTTGTTATACTTGGTTGGGAGCCTCTGTGTGTTTAACTTGCACAAATTTGAGATTTAAAACAATAAATGTAGGAATCTGATTCTACATGTCTCAGTTTCAGCCAGGCCACCATTACTGGCCTTGCAGATAACACCCTAGTGGCCAATTTAAATAAAAAGCATCATTCCTGATTTTAAAAAAAGCCTGATTATTCCAAAAATGGCATTAAAAATTTGTGGAAATCTACTGCAATCTTAGTTGGATCCCAGGTACAACATGGCTGCCCTTATGGGACTAAATTAATGCATGCTGGCCTCTTCGATTACTGCGCAATGATCGCCTTGATTACTGCATGAAAGTTTACCTATTTACTGGATAATTAAAAACAAAAAAGCCTGATTAAAATTTGTGGAAACTTGATATAAAAAATAAAATATTTTTGTAACAAGATTTTCTAAAATAAAAATAATTTCATTCATTTCTGAATATATCCTGAAAGACACACAAAGACCCAACTAAGATGTCAATATCTCCTAAAATTTGCAGAAACGTATCGTTTTTAGCCTAAAAAGGTAGGTTTCTGCAAATATTTAATGCTATTTTTTTGGAATAATCAGACGTTTTTTAAACTAGGAATAAATTTATTTTTTAAATTGGTTTCGTTTCTGGTTCCTAATCTGCAATTTTTTTTTTTTTAACTAGCTTTTTTTTTTTTTAGCTTTCAGGCGGTTATTTATTTTAAAATGCGTTGTGTTTTTTTAGGTTAGAAAGTCCGTGGCGGCATCTTTATTTATTCAAAATTTATTCCTGATTTTCTTGGTACGGATTCATTTCAATTGAAAAATAAATTACCTATTTTCGTTGACTTCAGCTGCTTAAATGTTTTACTTACAAATGAAAACTTACTTTTTTTTAACCAATTCCTGTTTTTTTTTTGTCTGCAGTCAACTGATGCTGACAGGGTCAGACTAAGTATATTAATGAATTAGTTTGAATTTGAATGATGTAACTAAAACTGTCATCCTGATTGAAGATTAACACTTTTGGCCTTTCAAGTGTTTTGAACTTTTGCCTCCGTTGATGAAAAACTAAAAGTTATTATTATCTTTTCCACTTAGATTGTATTGTACATATCTTTCTCGCAAGAAATTTGTATTTGCTTCAAAAAGAAAAAAAATAATTTAACCAATTCCTCAAGAACTTAATTATTATGGATTTAAATTGAAATATCGTAAAGCGGAGATTTATTATAACTTTATCATACCGGCATTTGATCAGCAAGTGTAAAACAAAATCCAGAAAGCTGACATTTGGCGAAGTCACGTGATAGTGTCGTAAATTGTTCCGATTTACGGTAGTAAGCCGGTCGCACATGGACTGTTAACGAATATTTCAATTGACGAAGGAGTATATAGCTATTTTCTTTTACGTCCTGTTGTTTTGTCCACCCCCTTTTATTAAAGTGGTCAAGATGTTTTGGGGTGAGTAATTTTAAAATGTATTATCTTTAGGATATGATTTCCCGTTCGTAGATTACATTTTAAGGAGCTGAAAAGTGAAAACAAAAAGAAAGAACACGTCTTATTTTAAACAGCCACCTGTAGGTTCAAGTTTTGCTATTGTTTTTTAACGTCGATGATAAACGTCAATCAAATAATTTCCGGTATTTATTTTTTATTTATCAATAATTGATTTTCCTGCTCGTTAGCAAAGTGGAAAATAATAATTTTCTTATCCATTTTTCATACATGTTGAAAGACTCGGAAGAGTAAAGACTTATTTTTAAATTTTAATTTAGAGAGGGAGAGACAACAAAATTAATATTTCCTCTTAAAAAAAACTTTACTCAAAAATCGGCTTCTTATTTTCTTCAATTCATTTTTTCTCCTTGATAAAATGCTTGCCTGCTCATGCAGCAAATTTATTTTAAAATTATTTTCAATTATCGATGCATTTTTTATTTTTATTTTAATAAAAGCAACCCCTAAATGAAATCTGTGTCCCTTGCAATTTTCTTTCTAAGATCACAAGTTTTGTCTTAGGAATATTAAAAGGAATTTCAAATCATCGGTAAAATTTAGGATCTGGAGAAGTAATTCAACAAAGCAAAGGTTTATATTTGCCGCGTGAGTGGAGTTAATTTGTTTTTTGGATTCACTGTTAAAAATATTGATTTTTCAGTTTATACTCTGACAGTTTTTTAATTTTTTTTTTTTTTATTGTAGGTACTGGAATGTTTAAAAAATATGAGCACTTGACAAAAATACTTTAAAAAACATATTCAGCTCAATAAAACTTTTCTTTTATTATTCTGAAAGTAAGTTTTTAAAAATGTCATTAAAAATGAAAACTTTTTTTGCATTGTAAATAAACTTTTAGTTTTAACACTTTGTTTGAAACCTTTGTTTTTTCCGTTTCCGTATTTCGTAAATTTTTTATGATACTCCTTATTTTTTTTCTAAGTTTTTGGCTTCAGTATCGTTTCTCAATTAAAAACTATTCTTAAAAAAAGTCAGTAAAAAAACTGAATCCATTTCTGAAAAAATTGGTGCTTCTTTTTCCAACGTCCATGAATGCGATTGAGAAAGAAAGACTATTTTTTTTTATTGAATATAAATTTAATAGTCAACTTTTTCACTCTAAAAATTTAGCGATAAAGTTGTGAATTCTGAGTTTTTTCTGTAATGAGAATTATTCTAAAAAAAAAAAAAAAAAAAAAAAATCAATTATTGCAAGGGAGGCTTTTGGTAATTCACACGTGTTCGACCTTATTTGAGAAATTTAGTTTTCTCCGCATTAAAAAAAAAACACAAAAAATCCTTTTCTCCCATAGCTGAATCCTTTTTATTTATATTGATCTATAATCAGTTTAACAGTAACTTTTAATTGATTTTTCAGTTAATTTTTTCATTGACAAATCCGCAATCTAAAAAGATAATTACATTATTTTTTATATTTAATTACATTAAATGCCCTTTTTTGTTCATGTTGTAAATAAAATTGAAATGAAATCCCATCGATCGAACAATGAACGTTCCATATTAAAATTCAGTCAAGCTACGAACTTATTGATACATCACTGTGCTTTTACAAGCTGAAAGAAGTAATTGTATTTTTACAAATTTAATGTTTACTTTCAAATATTACTCGAATGGCAAAAAAGAAAACTGTATTGTGTGAGTAAGCCCAAACAATTTAATCTGGTCCTTTTCTTTGTTAGAGCCTAAAAATAAGGCCTAAAAATGTTAGACATTTAGTCTTTTTCTACCTAATGATTTTGATAGGAAATTGTATACATTTGGAGAAAAACATTTGTAAAAATTTAAAAATGTATTTCTTAAATTTTCTGTGTCCTTCACAAAAAAAAAAAAAATAAATAAATAAAAGAGTTCATTGTTAATTTATTTTTGTTTTGTGAATGGCCATATAAACTGGTTGTTAATCGAATTGATCTTTGACACGTGGCAAGTTTTTGGGGGTTTCTGAATTTTGATTAGTAGTTTTAGGGGAAAACAAAATGGCATTTCTTTCTTTCTCTTACAGAATTACGCCGACAAGAATAAAATATCTAAGAATTCCCTTACTGAACTTGGAACCAACAGAAGTCAAATTTATTAACTCGCCGCAAAAGAAAATTTAGTGCAAGTTAATTAGTAATAAACAAAACAAAAAAAGACCACGTGCTTTGGATGCGGGAAATATGATTTTTCACTTTTTTAGGCATCCAAATTTTTTATAGCAATATTTTTAGTAATTTTAGAAAATTTTATCTTTTTTCCGTTTTACCCAGCCACCAAAAAGCTTTTTGAAAGTTTTGTAAAGTTACATTCTGTGAATTAGCAATGGGGACTTCTCGTTGCTAAATTTACGATTTGGTTTGGGGGGCAAATAATTACATTTTTTATTTTGAAAATACAGTACACAAGTAAAAAAAAAAAAAAAAAAAAAACTAATTTATTCATGCTTAAATAAATCCCTCATGATAGAATATTTCATTTTTCCATTTTACTTTATTTTTGCACATTGAAAATATCAATAATATTCATGTGTATAAGGTGGGCATACGTGCGCTCACATCGCAACAGGGTCGGAAAACCGTTCAAAAATTGCTCTCGCCCCCTCGGCATTTTCCCTTTTTGGGGACACCGGGTAATGACCTCAACTTTGAAGCAGGGTTGCCAGATTAAATTTTTATTAAAGCCAAATAATACGTACAAAAAGCCAAATAAACATGAGACCACTTTTATTTCTTTCACTAAAACATTTTATTTTTTGTATATAATAATTTTTTTTTTTTTTTTTTTTTTTTTTAATTCGAAAATTTAATTTGTTGACAATATAGTCAAATCAAACTCGCTGAAAAATCTTATTTTATTTTTATTTTTTAGTGTTTCCTTTTTTTTAATTTTAGTAATACTTTTTAAAAACGCTTTTAGACAAATTTCATGAAATTCGAATTTTTTAATTTAAGTTTTTTTTTTTTTTTTTAATACCTAAATAAATCTATAGAACCATTTTATTATTTTTTTAGTATGTGTATCCGTAAGATTTTTTTCTTCATTTAAAGAACTTGAATATTGCGAAAGACCAGTTAAAAACGGTCATTAGTTTAGAGAATTATGAAAGAGAAATTTCTTCCTTTTGCTTGGCGGCTGAAATTGGCATGGATTTGCAAAAAGAATCATTAATTTTTTTTTCTCTCTCTCTGGGAGCCTGTTGCAGACTGGCGAATGTATCTTAGGTTATCAGAAGGTTTAATGATGTTGGTGTTCTTAAACATTCATCCACAACAAATTTAGAAACATGATTGAAGACAAATCATTCAAAATAAATCGGTGAAAACAAAGTAGTTAAACTAAAGATATAACAATAACATAGATTTTTATATAGAATAAAAATATACACTATTGAATCAAAGGTTGTTGAACAAGTGTGAATGGTTGAATTGAATTATGTACTGTATTTATGCCAAGTTTCAGTGTGTGTGAAACTGGTATTAAGACTTGTGTGTGAAATTAAAGTGTTTGTTCATGTACAAAAATGTCTTTTTTGTGGCAATTCAGTTAATAGTGTATGCGTGTGCGTGTTTAAATTATTGTCCAAAACTGGTATGAGTTGTGTACCTTTTTAGTTGTTTTGATGTATTGATTAAATTTTTACGAATTTTATTAAATTTTATAAAAATTTTACTAATAAGTATTAGTGAGTTTTATCACTTTTTTTAGTATTGTAAGAAATTGTTCTTGGTAGAGCGAAATGTGTGTTGAGTCAGAAGTTTGCGCAGGAAAAGTGTAGCTGGTTAAGATTTTGACTGGCGTGGATTAGTTTGGCATTTCTCCAGGATGAAATTCTGAATATATTTATTGCAAGAAATGCAATTATGGCTAAGGCCGAAAAAAGAGGAGGTGTTGAGGCTGGTCTTCACTAACTATCTTATATCTAGCTAATCCGATTCATGACCCATTCATACATAACAATTCCCACATTCACCATAAGAACATGTCTGTCACTGATCAATCATCCATACACCATAATACTGCATCCTCTCAAGGGGGACCTAAAAAACGCGCCCCATGCTATAAAAATATAATGATTATATATGTACAATAAAAAAATTTATGGATGAATAAAATGAATGGGGAGGGAGGTGAACCCAATAATAAACTAAAACGATACACAAAAGTAACAAAACATAACTGATGTTAGTAGGGCCCTTCCAACCCTCAAAAATGAGAGGCCGCTGTATTCTGCCCATTTGGACAAAATCAAGGAGCACTCTCGCTAAGGCAGTGGGAAAAGGGTAAAAAATCATACGGGCATGGGAAAATATAAAGCTGACCCAGTCGAGATAAAAAGGGGCCCAAAAAAACAAACTGGGCAAGTTGGGAATCTCAACCTGGATCATAACCAAAGATGTGGCTGGGGACAGGCTGGAAACAACACTTACTCAGATTAACTAGATACACAAAAGCTTGTCTAACCTAACCAAGGGGAGGGTTTCACAGGGAACCACCCCAATGTGATGTAGGCTTGACCTAAAAGAGAAAATCAAGGCTAGCCCAGTTAAAATGAGCCAAGCTTGCCTCAGTCACCCACCTTTTGCTGAAGACTGTCAAATGCAAGCATTTTCTATCAGTTCTAATCTTCATCTTGAACTGGTGCTCAAAGAATCGGATCAGATCCTGATGAGAAAGACAGATACCCCGCAAGACTTCCTCTTGTCCCGTCGTCCAAATCACCATTCAGGTTGTGGCCAGCAGCATCAGAAAC